CACCCATGTCTTTTACACATTAATAAAGAAAGAAAATAAAAACGAACGGGTCATGACAGTAAAGCAGGTGTCCAAGCTGAACAAGACCACGCACACTAACAGGACAAGCAGGCGTTGGTTGGTGGCGCGTCACTGGGGAAGCGTGAAGTGGCATATTGTGCTAGGAAAGCTAACGCTGTTTCCATCTGCATTTCTGTAAGCAGGAGATCAGGAAAGAGGGAAGGATTTTCATCGAGGTGCTGGGAAGGGGCTGCATTTGTTCAATGGGAAGCATTGTGTGCCACAGTATGGCTGCTGTTGAATGGGAGGAGAACAATGGCAACTTTGAGGCAAAGGCAGAATAGATGAAAATGTACCAAATATATGTTGCTGCTTGCCAGTGCTAGCATTTTAGCAGTAAAACTTCCAAGGGCCAGAGGTAGACTTTATCTTCCAATGGGATTCTTACTGGACTTTGTAGTGTCCAAGGACGGTATTGTCTGAGTTAGGAAGGAAATAATTATGTTGTCAGTTGTCCCATTCCAAAGCTAGACAGGCCCTGCAACATCAAAAGGGTTTTTGTTTGTTTGTTTACTTCCTCCTCTTTTGTTTCTGGGTCCGTGAAATATTCATGTGGCTTAAAATTCAAAGAGTAAATCAAGTTGTCCTATAAAAAAATGTTCTCCCTCTGCCAATTTCTGTCCGCCAGCCTCTCCTCAGGGCCAACTAACGTCAGTCACAGTCTTCCTTATTGTTTCGTGTACGTCTTATTATGAAACTTTCTCCCTGGGACAACATAGGGTGCAAGGGTGTCCTGACTCTCTGGCTGTGTGACTGACATCCCTAAGGATGACCTCTGCTCCACAGGACTGAGTGGAGGCCAATCTCTAGAGGCTTAGGAACACGTTTTCCTGGAAACAGCAGGCACCAGCCAGCCCCTGACTTGACTGCTCTGCACCCTGCTGGTTAGGCAGTTAAACATCTGCAAAGAACAAGAGATAACATCCTGTGGGGGCGAATGTGGCTCTATCTCCTCTCACCAACTTTCCTGACAAGGTCACACAATTGCATCTTTGTTCCTGTCCGGGAGCGAACAGTTGATGCCATGGACCGCATTATTGCTGTAATCACTGGGGCTTTTGTTTATGGAGGGGAGTAACTCAGGCTTATTCACACGCAGGCCTGTCTATGTGTTCTTCACATGTGTGTTCTTTCTCCAGTGGAAGCCATAAGTGCTTCAAAGGTAAGGTCCTAATACCTAACATCACTTTCTTCCGGCTAAGCATATACCTTTGCATATGTCTGAGTAGCTCCGTGGGGACATGCTCTCTTCATTAAGTTACACATTTTTTTCTAAGGAGACAAGAATTCCATGTACGAAACAGGGACAGAACTTACTAACGTGCTAAATTAAGATGGGTTTGAGGGGACAAGATTGCAACAGGACTGATCATCCCTGTTCTCTCTAGAGATGACATTTTACCCATTTCTAAATTTCCTAATTTAACCTCGATTCTGAAGATGTTAGTGTACAGCTGTATTAAGAGAAACAAGTTCTGTGCTTCCTCCTTTTCTCAGAAATCTTCTAGATTCTGCCTGGCAATGCCTTCCCCCAACCTGAGTAACCACACCCAACCAGGGCTCTCCTAGGAGGAGATAGGCAGTTCTGCCTGGTTTATTACACTTCAGCTACTTGGAATTGTATGGTTCTTACACATCCAGGAAGGTGGGCAGCTCAGTTGTGTGCCAGGAGCCAGTAAGTCCCTGGCAGGCCTCCCATGAGCTGTGGCAGTCGGGGACCTGGCGAAAGATGGGGTGACCCTGAGCAGAGCACCTGGTGGTAAAAGCCTGCAGGATGTCCCAGCTTAAACTGGGGACTGGAGGTGACAATGATTTTTTTTTTTTTAAAGCCTCAACATGGATTTCCCTAAATACAGCATTCTTCTTCCTTTCTGGCAATAAAGGAGTTGTGCTGATTGACTGGTTTTCAAGTTCCCTGTTGGGGTGAAGAAAGTGAAAGTGTAGGAAGGAGTAAGTCTGACTCATGCTTGTGGATTTTTATTGTAATGAGAATCGTATTTTTTTAAAATAGCAAAATTAGGCTTCATCCTGGAAACAAACAAACAAACAAACACTACCCAAGATGATCTATGTTAAAAAAATCTGAACTGTGCATGACTTTGAAAAAGGAATTACATTATGAGTATATGTTAAGAGTGAAGGAACTGTCCTGGCCCATTTATGAGAGGTTTTTGAATGCCCAGGAGCACACGGTAGGTAAAATAATAATGGACAAGTCCAAATTAGTACCTCCACGGATCCAGCTCAGTACAGAAAGGATGGCAGAGTCACTCACTTGACCCCACAGCACAGAGAGAAGGCAAGTGTGGGACGCGTAGGATGACTTCATAGAAACACTCTGATTGGTAGAAAAAAGTCTGACAGCATCCGTGTGGCTCTTTTTGCAAGTTGAAAATGGTGAGATTGGGTTGGTCATTGTGGAGAGGTTTATCAAGAGCTGGGCTTCCTAATTGAGGACATTCGTCTTTAGTGTCATCACTTTCCGGAAAATGGTTGCAGGACTAGAGAGAAAAGGCAATTCACCATCTGGCTGGCTGTCCAGCAAAGCTGCTGACGAGACAGCACTAGTGTGCTAAGGCTGCATTGGGTCCAGGGTTGGACCTCAGATTCTGGGAAATGAGTTCACACGTAACCAAAAGCAAACAGACTAACAAGCATTTGAATAGAGAAACGAAAGTTCAAAGGGAACTAGTTTTTGTGCCAACTGGACAACCCGCTCTATTACTTAACCAAAATGAGGTAGTTAAGTAGACCATGTGAGCAAAGGGAGGTAAATGATGCTAAAGGTCAATATCATTGAACTTTGAAAACCTGCTGCTGCCTTCTTTCTAGTACCTCTGCCAAGGGGCCAGCTTACTCACCGAGTGATTGAGTTACAGCATCCTGGCAACCCTTCCCTGGAAGGCTGGTCATGCGAGGGTGTATTCTCTACACCAGAAATTCACAAAGGATGGTCTGAGGACCCCCAGGAGTCTCTGAAATCCTTTCTGGGGTGTCTGTGAGGTCAACATTATTTTCATAATAATACTACTATGTTACCTGCCTTTCTTACTTTTCTTGTCCCCTAAGGGTCCAGTGGAGTTTTCCAGAGGCTACATGCCATAAGATAATATCATCATTCTCACAACTAATGAAAGGTGTGCTTGTATATTGTTGTGTTTTTAAAATTTCTTCATTTAAATTTTTATGATAAATATAAGTAGATATGATCCACATTAAAAAAAAATAAAAGCTCTAAGACTCAATATTTAAGAGTGAAAAGGTTCTAAGACCAAAAACCACCGTACTAGAACAGGAGCAAACACCAGAATGTTATTCCTTTTATAGGAGATTTTCAAAACACACTAAAATTCTAGATGAAGACTTCTTAATGTGGTTTAGAAAGCATTTTTCACTAGGCACATAATATTCAGATTACCTCAAAAGGTCCAAATTATTGCATGGGTATATATTCTCCAAATCCTCTTGTTGGATATATCCAGTTGGAGGAGGATAACAAGAAGGAGGTGGAGGCAGGTGAGTAAACATTTTTATCTGTGATTTGTTTGTCCTTTGACAATTATCTTATCTAAAATGGGTCATAATCCATGCATACCCTGAGAGGAAGTATGTACTATTTTTGGAGTTCTTGAACTGTAACTGAACTGAAATCAAGAATCATAGCCTCCCAGGAATATAGGGCAATCAAGCTAGTTGTTCTGGTTTTATGGTGTGTGTGTGTGTGGAGTGAGATGGAGAAAAAGAAAAGAAGGGAGGGAGGGAGGTCCGGAGGGAGGGAAGGAGGGAGGGAGGGAGAGAGAGGAGGTCATTTTAAATATATTTTTTATTGATTTTTTACAGAGAGGAGGAGAGAGGGATAGAGAGCTAGAAACGTCCATGAGAGAGAAACATCGACCAGCTGCCTCTTGCACACCCCCTACTGGGGATATGCCCACAACCAATGTACATGCCCCTGACCGGAATCGAACCTGGGACCTTTCAGTCCGCAGACCAACGCTCTACCATTGAGCCAAACCAGTTTCGGCGAGGAGGTCATTTTAAGCATCAGGACATTTGTTATTAATTTCTGGAGCTCATTCTTCAAATAGAGTCAGCACAGTGGTTGTTTCTCACAAGTTGGTCCAAGGTCCATTTAGCTGGGCATTTATTTCACAAGACCATTGCCTCCTAAGGGGGTGTAAGAGGCCTTTTCCCTATGAGCCTTCCCGAAGCTGGGCATAGAATTTGGGGTCATAAATATAATACTTGGAAGCCTAGAGTTTTCTTTGGTCTCTCTGACACTACTGATACATGGGCCAGCACCCACTTGGCGAGACAGGTCCTCAAACCAGAGTAAGCAACTATAAAACACAGCATTTGGTTTGAACTGGATTGAACAAAAATTAGATGAACGAATGTCTGATATACGCAAGGTGTCACAAGGAGAGCAAGACAAGTCACAGTTCCTGTCTTCAAGGATTACAACTGACCGTGTATCTTTTCCAGTGACAGAATCACAGTATCCTCTGTCATCTACCGGAGTTAACCGACAGAGATGAGGACAGAAGGGTGACCTCCATTTATTTCCTGTTTTTCTTCATGGGCTGAATCCTGAGGGACCTCCAGGAGTCATCTCCAGCCCCCCTGGCCTGAAGGAAGAGCTGAAATAATTTCCACAGAAAACTCATGTCTTAGAAACAAGGAAATGATGCCTATTATAGCGCAATTAAGAATCTTTACCAAAATAAAATTAATGACACTCAAAATGTTCCATTTTAATCAATAAATCTTTATAATTGTGTAAATAAACCCATCAGCTTTAGGAGATGATGGTAGGAGAGGGTTCCAGCCACTCTTAGGGAGGCAAACTTGACACACTGTTTTCATGACAGGAGATGAGGAGAGATGGGCTTGGTGAGGCTGTTTTCTCTCCAGAGAGGAAAATGTTGAGCACTGGTCACTCACTGCCTCATTGTCTTGCCCATGGGCTCCTTTCTGGGTGAGGAAGAGAGCTGTATCCCCTGCAGAGCCTTGTAGGAGTCTGACAACAACAGTTTGTGGAAGGCCCCTGTCCGGGGGCCCAGGAGGGGCAGTCTGTAGTGAATGCTCTCTGGAGGGCAGTGCGAGAAGGAAGGACAAGTGCTGCTTAGATTCTATTTTTAAAGAAACTCAAAATAACCAAAGGCCACCAAACACTACTTTGACCCTCTGGAACAGATTCAAAATTCGCAGAAGGATTCCCTTTAATAGAACCATCTTCCCCTTTTGCAGATCTTGTCAAAGAGAGCAAAAAGGAGTGCCTAGAAACCAAACTCAAGTATGAATAGTCATGGCTGATTCAATAAAAATGAAGATAAAATGTGTCTAGATTTGTAATGTGAGTCAGAGGGAAAAAGGAATCAATTCTCAGAAGACTTTTCAGGGACCTGTATGTGGTTCTGCACACCAAAGAAACAAACATGATCTGACAAAAGGGCCACAGTAGGGAACGTGCTGGCATTTTCAAAGGAACCTTCATTTTATGAGATGATTTGTTTTGGGATTCTTTAGAATCCTTACCATCCTGATCTCTCTGTCGGTTATTATTTTACTTATAATACAAAAAGTTGTTAATATTCAACTTTTCCAAAAGTCATGTGGCTTAAAGGAGAAAACCCAGTAATGAAATAAAACCTTCCCATTGGAAGTCACTGAGTGATGGAGGGAATAGGAGACCTGAATTCTTTGGAACACGCTTCTCATTCTTGCTGAATGAGAGCCGAGAGAGTCACAACACAACAAGCCTAGGGTCTAATCTAGGCTCATTGCTGCGATGAAGAGGAGACAGAGGTCCAGGATCACGGGCACTGACAAAAACCCAGAGCTCCGTGTATCATACCACACGCTATGCCAGGCTGTGGACATCCACCTCTACCCATGTTTACTGACAAGAGCCTGTGGGTGTCATGGGACTCGGGACTCTAGGCCAGCGTCAAGGTGAGTGGATTCAGAACACATCCCTCCCCATCACTTACAAAGATGGGCTCTACCCCTTTACTTAGTTCTCACCAATAACGATCGATAATACATAAAGTTTAGCTGAATCCACTAGAAATCATTGTTGCAATCAAACAAAAGTGGCAGTAATGTTGATGGGATGAGTCAGCTGCTTGGTCTTTGCAGCATGTCCACGGCGGTGCAGCGCAGGCAGGTGGCCCCCGCAGCGATGAGTAGCAGGAACTTGTCTAAGGCAGGAACTTGTCTAAGCCCCATAAAGCAGCGGAGCTGTCTGGGAAGTGTCAGCAGTTTTTCTGGGCAGATCAAAGGTGAAGGCTGCTTGTGCTGAGGTCCTGGCTCTCTTGGGAGTGGGGGTGGCCGGGCAGGGTGGGAGGCACAACCCTTCTCTAGTTTTACAGGTGGGAACACGGAGGCCCACACAGTTTAAACAACTGGGCGAAGCTTGTATGGGCAGACCAAGATCCACAGCCAGGTCTCTGCCCCCAGGCTAGTGCGTTGCCATAACCTCAGAGAGCACACACGACAGAGAACACACAGCTCAGCTCACAGACATCGTGACCAGAATCAACTGTAGATCTACCCAGCTTCAGCTCCTAGCCAACTTCATGGGCTCTGTCTGTTCTGTCCCTGGATGGACTGTATGGGCAAGGACCGGATCTGTCCAAGAAGGAACATCATGTGCTGATCACAATCGCGTACACCAAGGCTAGCTCTCGTGTTGGCCATTGGAATACACTCCTAAGGCTATTAAGTTAATAAAAGGCATCTTATCACACTGTTCTATAGAATCAGAGATAAGCATTCTGGATGACGGAAGGGTGTGTGTGTGTGTGTGTGTGTGTGTGTGTGTGTGTTTCCTTCCTTTGTGAGGCTGACCTGGAAAAAAAAAATCCAGGTTCAAAGGAAACTCAGGACTGGGTGGCTGCTACCGAGACTCCTGAAACCAGCTGCCCATGTCTGTCACCAGTGTTGTTTTAGCTTCAACAGAATGAGGTGGTTGCAGACCCGAGGAGAGCGGGGCTTTCATCGAGAGGAGGATCTCAGCCCCTGGCTCTCTGTCCACTTGGCCCATGGGCTAGGCCAGACTCTTTGGATTCGTAAAAAAGGAGTCACTGGGACTAGCAGCCTTTCATCCCACGAGAGTGGACATCTCCAAACCTCAGCTGTTACCAGAGTCTCTGGCCCTCCTTTGTGGGACCTTTGAAGATACCCCTTCTATGCTCAGATTTCCTTCTTGATGCCTGCTCAGTTCAGTTCTGCTATAACTCCTCTGCAACCGCCAGAATAGAGCTTGCACCTCCCCATCTGTATGAAGTGAAGAAAGTGACCTTCATTTTCCTTACTGTGTGTTTCAAATGGAAGAAAAACTGGAGGCGACTTCAGTCGCTATGAAAGCCAATGAGAAGATGAACAAAGTCTCTAAAATGACAGACAGCCTGCGTGGCACTGAACCCTTGGGTTCTATCACCCAGAAGAGTGATCCACTTCCACCTTCCCAGCCCCATGTGGCTTCTCTAAAAGATGAGACTTAGGTCAATGCTGAAGCTGGAGACAGAGCCACAACCTCATTTCCATCAACAGCAAGCGAACAGAAGAATAGCTCTGGGCAGCTGCTGGGAGAAGGCAGGTGTGCTAGGAAACCAGTGGGTGGAAGGTTCAAGGCCTTGGTAAGGCCCTTCCAGGTGGGAATGCAGTCCCCTTCCCACTTTAGCTGGTACGACCAGAACTGCCTTCCTAGTACCCAATTAGTGTGTAGGCAGCTACTTTTCAACAAAGGAGCCAAAAAACATACAATTGGAGAAAGAAACACCTCTTTAGTAAATGGTGCTGGGGAATTTGAATGTCATATGCAAAAGAATAAAATTAGAAAACTAACAGATACTATACACAAAAATTAACTCAAAATGAATTAAAGACTTACATATAAGACCTGAAACAATATAATACATAGAAGAAAACATAGGTACTAAACTTGGTCTCAGAAAGGTTATTGTGAACTTAACACAAAGGCAAGGAGAATAAAGGCAAAAATAGAATAAAAATTAAAGCAAAAATAAACTAAAAGGGTTCTGCACAGCAAAAGAAACCATCAAAAAGGCAAGACTATAATTTAGCTACAGAGAATTACATACCAGTACACTAATATTCTTGCATAGTAATTTACACAGGATAAATTTTCAATTTGAGTGCAATATTGTATATTATGCTTAATAATTAAATGATAATTTATTTTCAACCTAAATTAAAAAAAAAAGAAACCATCAACAAAACATAAGGCAACCAACCAAATGGAGAAGATATTTATTTGCAAGTGATACCTCTGATAAGGGGCTAATATTCAAAATAAAGAATGCATACAACTCAACAACAAAAGAATAAGCAATCCAATTTAAAAAATGGGCAGAGAACCTGAACAAACACTTTCCCCAAGAAAACATACAAATGGCCAACAGATATATGAAGAAATGCTCAGCTTCACTAGCTATTAGGGAAATGCAAATCAATACCACAACGAGATATCACATCACATCTGTTAGAATGACTGTTATCAATATGACAAGAAATAACAAGTGTTGGAGAGGATGTAGAGAAAGGGGAACCCTCATACATGCAGGTGAGAAGGTAAATTGAAGCAGTCACTATGGAAAACAGTTTGGAGGTTCCTCCAAAGTTACTAATGGAGCTACCATATGACCCAGCAATCCCTCTCCTGGTATCTATCTGGGAAATTTAGAAAGATATATTGGCTATTATTGTGAATAATGCTGCAGTGAACATGCATATATCTTTATTTTTTTAAAATATATTTTATTGGTTTTTTACAGAGGGGAAGGGAGAGAGGTAGAGAGCTAGAAACGTCGATGAGAGAGAAACATCGACCAGCTGCCTCTTGCACACCCCCTACTGGGGATGCGCCCGCAACCAAGGTGCATGCACTTGACTGGATCGAACCTGGGACCTTTCGGTCTGCAGACCGACGCTCTACCGCTGAGCCAATCCCATTTCAGCTATCTTTAGATATATGCATGTTCACTGCAGCATTATTCACAATAATAGCCAACACATGGAAACAACTGAAGGGTCCTTTGAAGAATGACTGGATAAAGATGATGTGGTACATATACACAATGGACAACTACTCAGTCAAAAAAAAATGATGAAAAAATATAAAGAATATATTGCCAATTTTGACAAATGGGTAGATCTTGATAGTATCATGTGAAGTGAAATAGGTCAGATGGAAAAGGATAAGAACCATATTATTTCACCCATTTGTGGAGCTTAAAACACAAAGCAATACTTGAACAGACAAACTCATAGACACAGACAATATAGTGTGATGGTTACCAGAAGGGAGGAAGGATAGGGGAGGGTGAAGAGAATAAAGGGGGTCAAATATATAGCGATGGAAGGAGACTAGACTTTGGATAGTGAGCACACAGTGCAATATACAGATGATGCATTATAGAATTGTATACCTGAACCTTGCATATTGTTATTAACCAATGTCACCCCTATCAATTTAATTTTTTTTTTTTAAAGAGAATGGGAATTTGTTCAGAAAACTTAGAAATTATCTTAGGGGATTAAACTTTTCATTCTATGACTCCGGGGACAGTGTGCCTCGCACCACACATACTTCCAAAGAAAGCAAACCTGTTGAGATGTCATCAGGGGAACACCTGGGTCCAGTGTGAGCCTTTGGTGACTGAAGACTCTTCATTCTGATTGGGGAAAGCAAGAAGCCCCAATTGGTTATTTGACTAGGGCTTGCTGGGAAGGAATGTGTCCTTACATGTTTTAAAACAGCGATGGCCTCTTAAACCCAGCACTTGTTAGCCTGGTACTAAGACCGCCTCGCAGCAGAGACGACTGAGCCAAACTTGCAAAAATAAAGTAGTTTTGAGTAAAGTACCAAACTTGCAAGATAAATAATTTGGGGCAACAAATTGCAAAAGTCTTCTTCATAGAAGAGTGAACTTTTGCTCAGAAATGCCTGACTTTCGATAGCAGAGTTTTCCATTTGCAGTCCATAAAGACTATTTATTAGAATAACTTTAATTGTGCTTTGACATAAGAACTATTTAGAAGTATGGACTAGGGTAGGTGAATGTTATGGGTGCTGGAACCTGTAATGCTCAGATACCCATGTCCTCCATGATCCTGTCTCCCTGGGCCAAGCACTGTGGTTTCAATGCACCGGAGTCTACATCCCAGTGTGGACCGAATGGCCCTGAGGTCCCCTACTGCTGTCCAATGTAATAGAGACCTGTTATCCTCCCACATGATTGCTCTCTGTGTGAGCAAAAAAAGTAAAGACTGACATTAGATCACATATAACCTTTTTGATTGGTCATATATAAGGGTAACTGTATGTCCAACCATCTACTGCAAAGAAATTCTACCTACTTTGGTGCCTGATGCAGGGTGAGTCCATGTTTTGAGTTGTTTTTATTATTTTTAAATTTTATTCTCTTCTTTTAAAATTATATTTTTAGTGATTTCAAGATATATAAATATATTTTATTTTATTGATTTTTTACAGAGAGGAAGGGAGAGAGATAGAGAGCTAGAAACATCGATGAGAGAGTAACATCGACCAGCTGCCTCTTGCACCCCCCCACCGGGGATGTGCCCGGAACCAAGGTACATGCCCTTGACCAGAATCGAATCCGGGACCTTTTAGTCCGCAGTCAGAGGGAGAGGGAGAAGGAAACAGAGAGAGAGAGAGACAGAGAGAGAGAGAGAGAGACAGAGAGAGAGAGAGAGAGAGAGAGAGAAATATCAATGATAAGAGAAATCACTACTGGTCAGCTGCCTTCTATATGCTACCACTGGGCATTAAGCCTGCAACTCAGGCATATGGCCTCACTGGGAAATGAACCTGGATCTCCTGGTTCATAGGTCAACACTCAACCACTGAGCCACACCGGCTGGGCTTGAGGTTTTTAATAAAGTAAAAACTGAGTATTTCTTCCCTGTCTGATAGTTAAATACAGGGGGAAAACCTGAAATCCAACTAATCAAAATTCTGACTGGATTTTGTTTCTGATATACTTGCTTTTGATAAGAAATCAGCAAATGACAACCAACCATACTGATAAAGAAAAGGAGTATTATTTGCCGAAACCGGTTTGGCTCAGCTGTAGAGCATCGGTCTGCGGACTGAAAGGTCCCAGGTTCAATTCCGGTCAAGGGCATGTACATTGGTTGCGGGCACATCTCCAGTAGGGGGTGTGCAAGAGGCAGCTGGTCGATGTTTCTCTCTCATTGATGTTTCTAGCTCTCTCTCTCCCTTCCTCTCTGTAAAAAAATCAATAAAATATATTTTAAAAAAAGGGTCACCTTAACTACAGCATTTAAAAAAAAAAAGAAAAAGAAAAAGAAAAAGAGTATTAGTTATTAAAGAGTGCAGATGTCCCAGTGTCAGTGACCTGAATTAGATATGCCATCTACATAGAGAATCTGTATGTATTTCTGCCTAAGATGTCAAGGAAATTTCCTGTCTTATTCCTTGTACTGTTCTTGCAAAGATCGAAAGAATGATGAAACCTTCTATAGTAGTTTCAAGGGGAAAAAAATTTTTGGGGGGTCTAACTATCTGGTTTAACAAAACAACAACAACAACAACAACAAACAACTCACCAAAACCAACCAAGAAGCCCATTCCCTGGCCCTGGCTGGGTAGCTCAGTTGGTTAGAGAGCATCTTCCCAAATGCCAAGATTTCGGGTTTGATCCCCACTCAGGGCATAATAATATAAGGATCAGCCAATGAATGTATAAATAAGTGGAATAAATCTCTTTCTCTCTCTCTTCAAAATCAATTAAAAAAAAAAAATAAAAGAAGCCCAATCCCTTAGCATCCCCTAAACATTCTACTTACTGTTTCTCAGTTCATTATGTTTGTGTCCCCAAACCAATATAATCAGAATGAGCCAGGTCCCAACTTAAACCTTGACTTACCTATCACTCAGACAATTCTCAAAGGAATGTTTCAGATCATCTGGGATCATCACAGTTCTTGGTTGCACCTGAGGAAGACAATCTCATTGAGAACATTGTCCAACACTGCATTCCAACTTTCATAAACTGTATGTGCCACTTTAGCAAACTTGAGTTGTTTCATATCAGAGTCAGAACTGTATCCATTTGTGATATGAATGAACCAGAAGGAATTACCTTGCTCATGTGTCATAGGGTCTTTGTTCTACCCTGGTGATCAGATTTTGAAGTTAGATACCTCAAGATTAGTAAATCTCCCAAGTTTCTTTGGTGAGCTCACCTCACCATTCTTGTTTCAAGTTAACTTTCACTTTTTTTCACAGGCACCACTGAATCCTGAATGGCTGCCCAATGACCTCATTGCTCATAGGCTGCCTAGACTACAATACTCATAACCTTGTCACTGTCCTAGAAGTCATTTGCTTAAAGAAGTCATTTGTTAAACCAGATAGTTAGACTTTCAGCTTCATGAGGCCATAGACCACATCTCTATTTTAGTATTTCCAGGGCCTTAAGAAATATGTGTTGACCAAATCAGTGGATGAATGGACTCACTTTGAAGCATCCGTGAAGGTGTGAAGTATGTCCTTCACACTGCTATCCCTGGTGGCCCCACACTAAATAATGGAGCACCAGTAATAATTATCCAAGCCACATCCTACTTGGGATTTTTATTTTATTGATACTCATCCATTTTATGCTTTTACTTTAAAAAAATAATTTTTTGCGGCTAATCATTTTCTTAAAATGAGACATAATCCACATATTATAATATCTACTGCGTTGGTGTCCAATTCAGTGGTTTTTGGTACATTAATAAAGGTGTACAGCAATCACCACTGTCCAGTTCCAGAACATTTTCATGACTCATTCAGGAGTCATTCCTCCTCCCCCAAGTTCTCAGCAACCACTATTTTCTTTCTTTACGGATTCACCTACTCAGGAGATTTCATATATATGGAATTGTCCAATATGTGGCCTTTGCTGTCTAGTTTCTTTAAAAGTCCCGTAGCTCTGTAGTGAGTTTTGAAATTAAAAAAAAAAGAAGTGTGATTCTTCCAACTTCGTTCTTCTTTTTCTGGATTTCTTTGGCTATTCTGTAACTCTTGCATTTCCATATGAATTTTAAGATATGCTGGTCAGTTTCTGTAAGAAAGGCATCTGGGATTTCAAGGGCGATTGCCTTGAATCTGTGGATCCATTTGGGGGACTGTATTGCCATCTTAGCAATATTAACTCTTCTAGTTCATGAATGTGGGATTACTTCTACTTATTTAGGTCTTCCTTAACTTCTTTCTATAATATTTGATAGTTTTCGTTGTACAAGTCTTAGTACATTTCTTTTGTTAAATTTATTCCCAAGTATTTTAATTTTTGAGGCTACTGCAAATGGAATTGTTTTCTCAATTTTTTTGGATGGTTCATTGGTAGGGTATAGAAATAAAATTAATTTTGTACTTTGATCTCATGGTCTGTAACTCTGCTGTACTCGTTTTTCAGCTCTAATAGTTTGTGTGTGTGTGTGTGTGTGTATCCCTTAGAACGGCCTATATGTAAGGTCACACCATCTGCAAATGCAGTTTCACACCTGTGTTTGTAATCTGGGCTCCTTTCACCCCCTGCCCACCACTGTCATCGCCAGGCTTACCATTTTCACCTCCTGGCATGAGGAGCACAGCTGCCAGCTCCTGCCCAGCACGGGGCCACTGTGGCTCCTCCTGGCCTGAGGAGAGAGGAGACAGGGAGCAGTGAGGAAATGCTGTGGCATCTGGGGCAGCGAAAAGTGGGAAGAGGGGGAGGAGTGGTGAGAGAGGTTAACAGTTATTCCTTCCATAAGACAGAGATGGACACCCTGGTCTCAGCCCCATCCTGGGCGGATGTAGAATTGAGGCTTGACTGCAGCCTCGGTAGGTGCAGAAAGGGTTCGGGCCGGAGGGCTGAGCCAGAGACCCTGGTGGTGGCCTCGGGCCCCTGAGACAGCGGTACAGGGATAGGAGGGGGCTGGGGACTGAACCAAGGTCTGTCTTTTCAACCTGAGCACGTAGTTGGAGGGGCTACACTTTCCCCATTTTATACAAGGGCCCGCCACGGGGACATAAGGCCCTCCAAGGGCTTGAGGAAAAGTGAATAGAAGACTTCCCTCCGCAAACCTTTCACTGGCCCCTCCAACGCACTGCCCTCCTTTCTCGCGCCTTCACTCTCCAGCCGACACTGTCCGGCACCAGGTGGCCCTGCTCCACTTCCCGAGAGTCACAATTTAAGCCAAAGCAGAACTGGAGCTGGAGCGAGGGTCCCGAGCTGCCCCACCTCTGGGGGGCAGAGGCTGCCCTCACCGCCGGGACGAGAAAGCTGCGGGTCTGCTCGGCGCTGCTTTCTCCCTGGCTTCACCCCTGCCCAGGCTGACGGAGGCTTCCAGGCATTTGCACTCCGCCCACCGTGGGAACTTGAAACTCCTGTTGTGCCTGGGGTTCTCTCTCACCTCCCTCAGCCCCCTGAGACATGCTCGAGGGAAGCACAGACGATGGGGAGAAGGGTCCTGGGACCCGAGACCATCACTCTGCACAGGAGCCTTCTCCTGCCACTGGATCGGGGGCCCTGAGCTGTCCCTGCAGCCCCGGCAGGTGTGCACACAGGAGGAGGGGGGAAGCGTGTAAGCTAAGTGGAGTATGCCTGGGCGCTCCTACTGTGACCTCTGCCGGGTGGGTCCCCAGGAAGCTTCACACTGCGGGGTGTGAGGACTAAAAGCGACGGACAAGGCTGGACTCTTCCACCAAATGTCTAGCATACACTTCATTTTTACTGGCCGCTTTAAAAGAATGGACTCAGTCTTACCGCGCTGTGGGTCGGCATGTTACAGCGTGAGCGGGAATGACTGGATCCATTCACCCCACAACAACACACTCACTGTGAGGCTCCCTGTGGAGGGGGTGGTGACAAATGCCTGGCCCCAGGGAAGACCTGGGAAGAATACAAACTCGTTCATTTGCCCATTTTATTGGGAACGGGGACCCTGAGATAAATGAGACACAGCCTCCACGTAGTCTCCACCCAGCAGGCTGTGCACAATCGTGTAGTATACGGAGGCCCCCGGAGGGGTCTGAGGAGGTTAAAGAGGAGGCAGTGCCTGGGTAGGTGAATAGGGGGAGGGGGGCAGGAGGAGGGCATTCCAGCCCCAAAAATGCTGTGCGGCTACACAGAGGAATGCCCAGCTGCACCCGGGAGAGCTGGGGGTGTCTGGGTTGTCCCGTGGGGGGAGGGACGCAGTGAGAAGAGACACTGGAGAGGAAGTATCCCACGCTGACTCCTCTGCTTCTGGGCCAATTCAACCTTCTCCCATATCTCCCCTGAGGTTCTAGGGGTGGGATCTCCTGGGGCTGAGCCCTTCTATCCACCCCTCACATCTCTGATTCTGAGACTGAGATTCCCCTCCCCCCCAATCTGCGATTCAAGGTTGGGGGCACCAGGTGTCATAGAAGAGGCAACGGAACTCTGGGCCTGCAGAGAGGAGAGAGGCAACGTCTGAACGGAGGGATCAGCAAGAGCCTAGATGCAAAAAAGTTGATGCGAACAGTCTGGGGCCCCATGTTCTGTCGCCTGCAGCTTCCTCCCTGCCGTCAGGCTCTGCCGCCGAGGCCCCTTCACTCTCGGTTTCCTCAGGGCCAGCCCAGCAGTGGCAGGAATGGACGGCTCAGAGCCCGGGCCCTGGGCTGTATTATAGAGTCGCAGCCACTGAGGAAAGAGGCTCTGAAATGTTAGAGGGCTCTCCTTTCCCAAGCAGCTGTCCCCAGGAGAGCAGACGGCAGCTGTGACTGGAGAGTGACAGTAGCCTCTGTCCCCTGGCCAAGGTCTGATGCAGGTTTCAGCTGGGCCAGGGAGCCAAAGCCTGCTCTTCACACGTCACAGCTGGGAACATCTGGGTATCTGAGGTCAACATCTGCTCATGGCCCAAGTCCTTGGCCCCTTTCAATTTCTGGTAAACAAAGAGAGAAGTCAGTCTCTCTCTCTCTCTCTCTCTCTCTCTCTCTCTCTCTCTCTCTCTCTCTCTCTCTCTCTTTCTCTCTCTCTCAAACACACACCTGTCTCACAACAAAAACTGAAAATGTGAGTAGCAGATGATGACTTTAAAAATAGCGCAATTTAAGGAGCACTGACAAATCTGCCCCTGTGCTTCCTTCCCTTCAGCACCTCCATCCCCTTCTCCATTTCACTCCTGCCTTAGCTGAGAGAGGTCACCTGGCTCAACTCTTACAATGAGCACCAAGAGGAAAATGTGGCCCAGAAGGTTCTGGCGCCTGTCGAATAGCTCAGCTAGTCAGTGTGTCCACCAGAACGTTCTCTGGCTGAAGGGTCAAGGGACAGCGGACTCTTAGGATCCATATAAGGGAGAAAAGATGCCTCTATCCCTTAGAATACAAAAAGTGGTGCTCAGAGGACTATTTTCAACAGGCCGAAACAACCCTATGATAATTAAACATTGTCCCGATCTCTGAAAATACCAGCCACCTCCATAGTTTTATGCAGCTGAATGTATTTTTTAAAATTATCTTGCTGTTGCCGAAACCAGTTTGGCTCAGTGGTAGAGCGTCAGCCTGCAGACTGAAAGGTCCCAGGTTCGATTCTGGTCAAGGGCATGTACCTTGGTTGCGGGCACATTCCCAGTCGGGGGTGGGCAAGAGGCAGCTGGTCGATGTTTCTCTCTCATCGACGTTTCTAACTATCTCTCTCAATTTCTCTCTGTGTAAAATCAATAAAAAATGTATTAAAAATTATCTTGCTGTTCACTCGGAAAAACTTCACACACACACACACACACACACACACACACACACACACACACTAAGCAACAGCCATGTATCTGCCGTCCTGACTTATTAAACTTGGTTATTGTTACCGTTTTATTTCAGGTCATTGGCATTCATGATTACCCCCCTTTAAGATGGTCTTAGTAGTAATATATGTTGGATCTCGGTTGGATCTTAGTAGTTATATATGTTGGAGATGAACGTAGACCTATACAACAAGGTAGTTTCTGTGGTGGTCACCAGCTTTCAAAAATGAAAGTGTCAATGAGAGAAATTTTAGAAAGAGTTCTCAGGAATGAGCACATTGGAAGACACCCTTCGTGTGTATTTTCTCAGCTATGTCCCTGCTCCAAGGCACTAGCCAGGGCTTTTTGTCACAGGGCTGCTAAAAGCAAAGGCAATAACGTCCTCACCTTTATTCTGACTCATTAGACTGGAAAACAACAGATCAGAGAGGAGACAGCGTCTGGGGACAGGAATGCAGAGAGGCAGGCGGCCTTCTGCCCTGCATGAGTGACTGAGGGGCTCTAGCCAGATACACCCAAGTTTGGCAAGTAGAAAAGGGGATGCAGGGTCTTGACAGGGGTCCCCACACATCTGCTCTGCCTGCCATGGAGCTCTGAGTGAGCTGCCTCCTGGCCTCACTCACCCACCTATCCAATTACACTTTCCTGTCCTGGGCGCCATGGTGGACGCCTGGAGTGGCAGGTGGCAGTCATGACTAACAGTAGAGGTTTGCACGGGGGATGTTCAGGCTCCGTTTCTTTGTCTCCGTTTCCTGTCTTTCTTCTTTGTGAGCTCTGCTCTCCCCTTCTATCTCCTTCCTTGTATTTTTGTCTCGTTATGTCTCTGTGTGTCTCTTGGCTCAGCTTCCCGTCTTTCTGTCTCTGAACCCGTTTCCCCTCTTTCCCTCTCTCATCAGGGAGGACCGCGCTCCAGGCACAGAGACACCCGCGCTGGCCCGGAACAGCTCCCGGGCAGGAAGGAATCCCGCCTGGCTGTGGATGACCAAAGTCCTGCCCTTTGACCTGTGACAGTGAAGAGGGAGCCGGGTAGGACCTCTGCACCACACCCAGGGCCGGGAGACTCTGGTTGGTGGCAGGGCTGCCTGCAGCTCTCAGCAGGTCCCCCACTTAGAGGATAAAGGGAGAGATAGCATGTCCACAGGGCATTCCACTCCCATGAGAGGCGTCATTGCTCATTGCTCTCCAGAAAGGAGCAGCTGCGGCTGTTACCGCACAGCAGACACGCTCAGGCCATCACGTCTGCAGCCAATGCCTGAGCTCTGAGTCCGTGTGACGGGCTGGGAGCTGACCGGTGTCCTAACAGAACAGGGACCCAGTTTTGCTATGAAGGTGGCAGAATTTGCCTTCACAAAAATGCCACTGCGCCATCAGGATGAGGTGGAGCCAAAGGCACTTTATAAGACGGCAGGTGCAAGAAGGGTGTGCTGACCCTACTTTTTCTTCCTAAAAGTAGGAGATAAAACCCCAAAAGGAAGAGGCTCTCCTTACACCAGAAGGAAAGCAACACCCTTATCATAAAGGACCAGAGGACGAAGCTGAGGGAATTCTCTGCACACAGACCCCTTTAACCTCCCCGTGCAGTTGAGTTACTTTTCCGCAGTTGCCTCTCGCGTATGAAAACGTTTTGGCCTTGCCACTTCTTTGGGTCTTTGTTTTTGCAGGAGGGCACTCGTGTCACGTAAAACATGGTAAATACATGTGCGTGCTTTTCTCCCCCTAATTTGTCTCTGTTTGGGTTGTGCCCATGGTCCCAGCCTGGGAAGCTGCTGCTCTGTGCTTCCTTCTAGTGGCCAGACATGAGCACTGCAACCATGAAATTCTGAGCCCCTCTCACTTCCCTGGGCCTTAGCAATGCCTTCCTCCTTGCATCCTGGGTGCCTGGAGTCAGTGCCTCTGGTGTGCTGAGAGCCAGAGCAAACCTGGAGGAGGTGGCACTAGGTGGCAGGGGGAAGCGGCCTGCATAGTGTAGACGAAAAAGGCCACATGCTGACCTGACAAGCTCAGGGGAGGCCTGCATGGCGGTCTTGCAAACTCAGAGACCTAAAGTAACCATAAAGGATGGTCTGAAATTAAACTTTAAACACAGTTATGGTGGGCAATTATATCCTAGGCCAGTATCTTCACTGACAAGGTCAACCTTTACCTTAACCAAGCCTGTCTGTCTTTTTGCATCTATGATAACACACCCTTGAAATGTCTGGGTAACTTGTAACTTCCCTTTTTCTGGAGCCCCTGGGGCACAACCAGATGTAGTGGGTGCCAGGACAGATACCACAGATTCCTTTCTTATCATGTTAATTGTTCCTGCACCCACCTAAGTATGTGTCCATCATTTAAAACAATATTTTATTGATTTTTTTTTTACAGAGAGGAAGGGAGAGAGAGAGTTAGAAACATTGATGAGAATCAGCCATCCCCTGCACACCCCTCACTGGGGATATGCCTGCAACCAAGGTATATGCCCTTGACTGGAATAGAACCTGGGACCCACCGGCTTTGGCTGTGTCCAACATTTTACCTTTTATCCAACCCCAGGGCTTTCCCTCCACTTTGCTTTATCCCACCTCCTTAATCTATCACCAATGAATTCCATGTAACCCACCTACGTCCCTCCTTTGATTGCAATGTATAAATAGAAATGTAACCCGCCATTCTCCGGAGCATTATCTCAATTCGTTGAGGGTTCTGCTTCCTGGCATATGTCCACAGTTTGGCCCAAATAAACTCACAAAAAATTCTTTACAGATTCAAATTTTTTTTTACGTTAACATTACGAAGTTCAAAGAGACTGAATGACTAGAAGGCTTCTCGCTGGTTCTGCCTGGACTGCCAAGGCCAGCGTGTCCCTGCTCAGCCCCCTGTCATGGCGGCAGGCACTCTCACCTGCTTGCCTGTCCTGGGTGTTAGGGGATTAATGAAGTCACCCTCAAGCACAGCCCTGCCCTTGACCCTCAGTGCTGTGGCCAGGCCCACCCAGCTCCATGCTCTCTTCCACGTAAGCCCGCCCCTGCAGCCTGAGCGCTCAAAGCTCTGCAGACAAGTCCTGCGTGCTCAATCGTGGGTCTTGCTTCCCGGGACCTTCCTCACTCGTGGAAATACTATCTTCCGAGCCAGTGAGATGCCACTACCTCTGGATCCCGCCCTCGCTCGGTCTCTGTTCGCTCCTCCCACCCCTGCCCTGATACATATTGGGCGGCCCTGTGCTGTCCCTGAGCCCTGTCATTTGGGTAGGCAGGAACTGACCTGCGCATCCCTGTATCTGTGCTAAACCAGGTAAAAAGGGCTCCGAAAGCACTTATCCCCTGGCGTGAGGGCTGGTCATGCCGTGGCCACAGTCACAGAGCTCTGGCCGAATCCTTGGGGACGCAGCCTCTGGCACTGCCTGCAGTAGTCCTGTGCTGGGTCATTTTTCAGGTGAAGAAACTGCTCGTGTCCCGAGTTCTCGCTCTTCCCCCACCTCAGGGAGGTGCTGACATCACAAGCACCGTCAATTCTGGAGACCCTCCGTGAGGCTGAAGGTCCCAGGGCAGTGCCTCAACATGAAATTTTTAATTTCCCTTTTGGATGGCTCTCCCCTCAGGCCTTTATTCTTAGTTCCAGTGGACCTGGGGGTCCTGAAACGAGGTGATTGGCTGAGGCCCTTTCATTTCACTTAGCAAATGTCTACTTAGCATCTACGATGTCCCAGGCTCGGCTGTGCTAAGGAGATAGGAAGTGTCTTCGGGGTCACATTCGTGCCATCTTAGAACTGCTATTGGTTTCTTTGCAATTAAAGAAAAAAAAAATGAGTACCTTAGATAAGCCGTTTGGATCTTGAAACGTATTTGGCAAATTCACATCCTTCCTCCATGAATTCAGAGAAGTAGAGGAGGCATGAGGGAATCTGAGTGGTCAAAACAAAAGCCTGTTAGAACCACAGTCTCTGGTGTGAAGGGCGGGCGAGGCCCTTGGCTGTTCCAGAGAGAAACCATGGGGCACCCCCAGGTGGGGCAATCCACCACCTCCCCCTGTGGACCATGCCCTCCCTCCAATTATTTTCCCCCCGGAATTTTCTTTGTGGTTTGCGAGTGAAGGAGAGACACTTCATGGGGAGACACACCTGCTGGCTGGGGTGGTTCACTTTATTACAGTGGGAGAGTTCTAAAGGTGCTTTAAGTATTAGCTCGCCTTGGCAAAGCAGTTGTGACACAGAACAGAAAGGGTTCTGCCAAAAATAAACAGCTTGGAACACGGAGCTTTGGCCAGATGAGGATGTTCTCATCCTCGGGAATGGCTGATTCGTAACTAGTAAACAAGCCAGCTTTTCAGAAGATTTTGCGTTCCCACCTGTCCTCCCCAAAGCTCAGGGCACCTCCCAGGTGTGGTCCATTCCGTCCCAGCCTTCCTGCGAGGCAGGTGGGTGTCATTTCTCTCAACAAGGGCCCAGTGCTGCCCAAACCCTCCCCGTGCAGACACACCGAGAGCTCTCTGACCACTGCAGGCCGTTCTCCTTGTACCTAGCTCGAGGTTGGCTGGCTGCAGGAAGAGCCACCCCTTCCCTTCCCCTCTGACGCTCCAGGACCTGGCTGTGAAAGTGAGCAGGTTCTGAGGGCACCTGGCTGTGTGCTGGGCCCGCCTTGTTCAAGCCCCAGGCCTGCAGCCCCTCACCCCTCCCACCCACTGCTCCCCAAGTCTGTACAACCGGGGAGCACTTGACATGGGTTTCTCGGCTGACCAGCTGTGTGGCCTTGCTCCCGTGTGGCCCTTCTTGCAGCCTGTGCCACCAGCAGCTGGGCTCTTACCTTCTGGGGAGGCTGAGCACGAGGGGCTTGTTCCGGAGGCTGGCCTCACACAGCCAGGGGATCTTTTCAAACTTGGGAACCGAAGCCTGGAGAGGAATGGGAAGAAATCACGTCTCAGAATCTGTCACGCTTGACCAGAGCAAGCTGATGGCATGTTTTGTGTGTGTGTGTGTGAGCAGTTAGTTACATTTAGTTTACTCTTCTGAGTTTCCCATAACGCGGCCAAGAGCAAACAGTGTCGTCCCCACCTTACCGATGAAGAAATGGAAGCTCAGCCTTTGGCCGGGTCACGCTGGTGGGGAGTGGATTCAGGGTTCCCGACTTTTGTGTCCACTGTTGTCATGGGTGCTCTGTCCCTTTGCTTCTGGGTCATGTCCATCTGTTCTGCACCCTCGGGTGCTTCCATGCACTCCGCTGAGTCTCTAGCTGGGTCGGTCTGCCACCCTCATCCCTTCTCCAGGCGAAGAGGAGGACGTTAACTTCGTTCATTCACTTCCCAACTGTGCGGCTTCGGACAGCCTCTGAGCCAACCACAGCCTCTCTGAGCCTCAGCTCTGTCCCCTGTGAGGGCGGGACGACCCTCACACACCACAGGCCATTGCACGGGGCAGGCAGCTCCCGGGAGGCAGGGATGTCTGCCTGTTTCACCCACAGCTGTGTCACCAGCACCTGAAAGGGCGCTAGGTCCTTGTAGGGATTTCGTGACTGTGTCGGGAGCATGCACGGACCCTGGGAAGTCCCCATCCCAGGGCCCGATTTCCTGCTGGGAACTCAAGGAAGGCACCCGTGCTCAGCTCCCTTCCTCCGGCCCAGCCTCCACCCCAGCCCTTCGGATGCCAGGTCCCCTTGTGCTGCGGTTGCGGCTGCGGGTTGCTTTCCGAGCGGCAGTTCCGGGAGCGGCCACGAGAGGCAGCAGCGAGCGCGCCGGCGCCGGGAGGGCGCTCTGGCCGCGGAGGTTGAGGCGGCCCCGGAAGTGCTCCGCCGCCGCCGCGACCCCGGCGCCCCGGATGGGGAAGGAGGCGGGCGTCGGTCCCTCCGGCCGCGCTTCCCTACGAACTGGCGGGCAGGTGGGTTCCGAGGGAGACCTGCTTCGGGGCCTCCCTCCTGGCTGGGCGGCGGGCGGCGGGCGGTGCCCGGGCCGGGCCCCCGGGGCGGCCGCGGTCTCGGCGGGAGGCGGGCGGCCGGGCCCTAAGCCTTTTCCGGAAGCACATTTGCTGGCATTTCTGACGCCTGGGGCTTTCCCCTTGTGGCGAACGGGTCACGGTCTCCGATCCCCACAGATTCTATCTTTCTGAGTTGGATGATAGCTTTCTAGAGGCGGGTGACCGCAGGGAAAGGATCTTTAGTTTCTTTTGAATCATTGGTTTTGGGGCTCACATTTGTCAGATGCTGTTTACTGTTCAGATGCCTTGAGAAACCAGTCAAAGCCCTGGGTCCTGTCCCCGTACGTTTGCATAAGTGGCAGCGACAGGCATGCAGAGACAGGGCTTGGGGACGCTCTGAGCTCATCCACAAACCTCAGGGAGTGTGAACCCCGAGTTAGGAGCTGGTTTGGAGGGAGGCACAGGCTTTGGGGTCAGACTCTGCATATGGCCCCCACCGTTTACCATTGTTAACTTGGGTGAGTTGCCCGAGCAATTTTACGAAGTTTTTTGTTTGTTTTTTTACTAGTTAAAGTGGAACTACCTAACCTGCAGGATTGTGGAGATGGGATGAAAGAAGAAGCTACTTAAGGCACTTAGCACATTGTAGGCACTCATTGAGCGACAGCTGACAGATGTCTGTTATTATCCCAGGGAAGGTCATTTAAAACCTGAAATTTTAATGTCATTATTATAAGAGGGTCCCCACATATATTTTGCTCAGGTTTTTAATAAAGTGAGTTGGTTTGATTCTAACTCAGCCCCGCCCTTAACCTTCAGCAGTTTCATAGGTTCGCGTGGTCGGTCTTTTCCTAGGAACTTGGCTGTGTTGTCCTGCCTCAGAGAAGAAACCCCTCTTGCGGGCCTTGCCTGGGTGGCAGCCTTTGAGAACAAGGGAAGGTCGGCACAATATCAACCACAACACAGCATGGGATTTCCGGAGAGGTCTTATTTCAAGACTTTATAAAGAACAAGAACCACATGGGCTTCTGCATGGGAAAGTGAGCCGGCCTGAGTGTGAGGAGAAGGATAATGTGTGAGCAGCCCGTCACCAACACCACGGAGATCAAGTGGCAGAAAGTCTTATATGAGCGACAGCCCTTTCCTGACAACTACGTGGACCAGCGGTTCCTGGAGGAGCTCCGGAAGAACATCCACGCCCGGAAGTACCAGTATTGGGCTGTGGTGTTTGAATCCAGCGTGGTGATACAGCAGCTGTGCAGCGTCTGCGTGTTTGGGGTCATCTGGTGGTATATGGACGAGGGTCTTCTGGCCCCTCATTGGCTTTTAGGGACTGGCCTGACGTTGTCACTGATTGGCTACATTTTGTTCGATCTCCTTGATGGAGGGGAAGGACGGAGGAAGAATGGGCGGACCCGGTGGGCTGACCTCAAGAGCGCCCTGGTCTTTGTTACGTTCACGTACGGGTTTTCGCCGGTGCTGAAGACCCTGACCGAGTCTGTGAGCACCGACACCATCTACGCCATGTCGGTGTTTATGCTCTTGGGCCACCTCATCTTCTTCGACTATGGTGCCAATGCCGCCATTGTGTCCAGCACCCTGTCCTTGAACATGGCCATCTTTGCTTCCGTCTGCCTGGCCTCACGCCTGCCCCGGACCCTGCATGCCTTCATTATGGTGACGTTTGCCATCCAGATTTTTGCCCTGTGGCCCATGTTACAGAAGAAACTGAAGGCATGTACTCCCCGCAGCTACGTGGGAGTCACACTGCTCTTTGCGTTCTCAGCCTTGGGGGGCCTGTTGTCCATTAGCGCGGTGGGAGCCACCCTCTTTGCACTTCTGCTGGTGTCTATCTCCTGCCTCTGCCCTTTTTACCTCATTCGCCTGCAGCTCTTTAAAGAAAACATTCACGGGCCTTGGGATGAGGCAGAGATCAAAGAAGACTTGTCCAGGTTCCTCAGCTAAGTGAGGGAACTCCGTTCTGTTGTTCAGGCAAGCTGACAGACCAGCCTGCCAACTAGGATCCAGTCGAAGGCAGAGTTCCATTCTGGAAGCAGCAGGCTGATGTGGTGGGAGACCCCGAGGCTCTGGTGGTGAAGGTGCTGTTCCTTCTGTCGTTTGGTGGATGAAAACGCTTTCTGGGGCCCTCAGGCATGGCTACCTCCCATGTCTTACTCACTGTAACAAAGGAAGTGATGTGGTTTCTATTTATTAAAAACTAACAACATATCCAGCAGATTGTGTCTCGGTTTTTCTATCAGCAGAAGGCAGATAGAAGGGGCATGAAAAGTGAAGAGAGAATAACACGCAAGTGTGTGTTAATAAAGTAACCAATCTACCCTTTTCAACATACTAATTCAGGCTCCGTTATTTACTAATATACTAATTCAGGCTCAGATCCTAGAACTCTGGATGCCATGTCTAGTTTTGTTGCCTAACACTAAGAATTGGTCTCTTAACCTTAGCTCAGGGTTTCTACTTCGTTCTTAGTGAAACACGAATGTGCCATAATATACAGCAAAATGCTGGGGGGATTCAAAGAGTCTGGAAGTCAAATTGAGCCGGAGTATTAGGAAATATTTACTAGAGGAGATGGCATTTGAAGTTAGTCTTGGAGGTTAGGTGTGATTGAAGTGGGTGAAAGATGGTCTATGTCTAGGGCAGTGGTCGGCAAACTCAGTCAACAGAGCCAAATATCAACAGTACAACGACTGAACTTCCTTTTGAGAGCCAAATTTTTAAAACTTAAACCTCTTCTATCGCCACTTCTTCAGAACAGACTTGCCCAGGCTGTGGTGTTTTGTGGAAGAGCCACATGTGGCTTGCAAGCCGCCGTTTGCCAACCACTACGGGTCTAGGGTGACCCCTCTGCCCCAGCAGACCATTTAGTCAGAATTTGGACCTGGCTTCAGATCTTTAGAATGCCAAATAAAATTCTAACTGAAATCCCAATAGCTGTCAATGTGATTTTTAACATGAAATATGACGTGTGGATTCTGTCAAAAAATCAGGCTCCCCAAAACACTGCATGCAAAATGTGCCCACCATTGAAGCACATCTGTTCTTAGCAAGCACAGAAGTGGCAGTGTCAGAGGGGAGTTCCACGTTATGGGGAGGAAAATTGGAATGGGAGGCTTGAGTAACCAGTAGGGGCCTGTGAATATTTGGGAGTTTGGGCTTTCCCCCTGCAGGTAATGAGCAGTCCAGCTGACCTGAGGGGGGGTAAGCAGTCAGATCAGAGACTGGCTACTTCACTTAACTGTTTCATTTTTTTACATCTGGAAAGTGGGAATGAAAGTACCTCTAGAACTGTAACGATTAAATGAGATAGTTGCAAAGTACTTGGAAGAATGCTGGACACAGCATTGTATAAGCGTTAGTTATTATTACTGTTGCTACTAAGTTGACATGTAGGAGACTTGTGGGCAGAGCCAAGACACAAAATGCATCAAGTGGCCCCAGAAGAGCTGATCCCTCCCTCGTGTAATCATTCTCTTGGGGAAAGTTCCTGAATACTATCCCTTTTTTCTAGAATTTCAAATCAAATCTCATCAGGGCACCCATGTTCCTAAGAAGCAATGTTTTTAATTCTCTGAACATAGATCTCTCATATTTTTGAGCATTGATTTTTAACTTGGACTAATAACTAGAAAATCAAAATGGGAAGAATCAAAGAGAAAGGAGGCTGGCCTATGAAAACAGTCAAGACCAGCACGCTGGGCCTGAAGGAAGGCTTCAGGGAGGGGCAAAGTCACTGCCGAGAACAGTGTTAGCGGGGCAAGTGAGTGGGTTAGGCTCACAAATCTTCACATAGAGGAGCAGGCTCCCTTTGAAGTTTGAGCAGGGCAAGTTTACGACACGAAAATATAATTCTACACACTGCATGTAACAATTAGAAGTTCCACAGGCCAGGAATATAAATGGATTCCAAAACTGGGGGGAAAATGCAAATAAAAAAGCTGTGAGTGTTCTGTTGAGAATTCCCAAGCCTTTGAGGGCTGCTATATGAAAGATGAAGAGGTTCACTAAAGGGAACTTCTCTGGGTCACTGCTGGTGCAAAGATATTGGCCAGGACAACCATGCTGTGAACTAATATGACAGCTTCTGGGTAAGTTTCTCATAACGTTAAGTACAGTAATGCGGGCAGTCTCTTAAAGCAATCTCAGAGAGTGCCTATAGAATACAGGGGCAGGTGAAAGTAGGTTAATTATATATATAAAAGCCTAAGTGATCATTACGACCGAACAACCAGTCAACCAATCACTATGACATGCATTGACCTTCAGGGGGCAGATGCTCAATGCAGGAACTGGCTGTGGGAGTGCACTAGTGGTCATTGTGCTCCCACAGCCAACCTCGTGGTCCCTCCCCCTGGCTGGCCAACCTCCCATAATCCCTCCCCTAGGCCAGTACCACCCCCCAGCTGGCTGGCCAACCTCCTGCAGTCCCTTCATCTCTCTCCTCAGCCAGCAGGCCCTGATCGGCCCGGCCCCAATCAGGACTGGGCAAGATGGTACCAATCAGCCCTGATCACCAGCCAGGCTTCTAGTACAATAATAATAATACAAGAATAAACTCTTGCACTCACAACTGTAAACCTCCTTTTGCCAAGCCCTGTATTAATGATTTAGATTTCTAGAGAATATTATGGTGTGTGTGTGTGTGTGTGTGTGTGTGTGTTTGTGTGTGTGTGTATGTGTTTGGGGTGGGGGTGGGGGTGGAGTGGGAATGGAAGGGGGAGAGGGTCACAGTAGCATTAAAACCCCAACGTGTCAAATACTTGTTTGCATTAGAAAGTGCACCCTTCCTCCTGGCTCTGCTTCTTTTCCAGGTTTTAGGTAAAGCTGGAGGTTGGTTGGTGGTGGTACGTGAGAATCAGGAGGGCAGATGGGGGAGGCTCATCCTTCCAAAACAGTACCAGGGATTGTAGTGGGATGGAGGGATCAAGGACAGCTAGAACTACAGGGCAAGTATTTGGGGGCATGATGAGGCTGACAGGTGATTGCCATGTGCAGGGACCCGAGTGTGGTAACATGCACTGGTTCTGCATGGCGACCAAACTAGTATCTGTGCTGGGCCTATATGTCAGTTCTGCAAACTTTGAGTGAGCCTTTGGGCAGCTGGCTTAAGCTGTGGATTTCATAATTCATGCTGAGCATATTTGAGAAAGCACACAGAGCCATCATTTGCACCTCCAAAGCCAAAGGTTCAAGGTCAAGAAAAACAAAAACAAGCCAGCAGAGGGCATCAGTTACACAGTTTTACATTATTTCCAACAGGCTGAATGCAGAAAAATGGGCCCGGACACAGTGCCATCTTGTGGAAGTTATTGATAGTCCCTTTCCTAAAGAAATTTAATAAGAGTCTTGGGAGTCTTGCTGAATTGTGCTTAGGGAACTAGCTGAAGTCCCCACAAATTCAAGAAATAAACAGCAGACTGGTATTTGATAAATTATAATAGCTACATTTTTGAGCACCCAGAGTGTACCAGGCACTGTGTTGGGCATTTTATATACATTGTCTTACCTATGTCTCTTAATCCCGCCATGCAGGTATTATTTTTACTTTCAAGTTGAGTAGACTGAGAATTCCCCCAACATCTAACAAAAATCTTTACTGTCCGTCAAGGCCTATCCCTACTCACTTTTTACCATTCACATTTCATGATGTTTGATCTCATATTGATCACTAAATATATGACATACTGTTTTATGTGCTTGTGATAGATCTGTGTCTCAAAGATTCTTGACTTAATAGAACTTACATTCTAGCAGGAGAAGACACAGAATAGATGTAAGAAGGTAATAAAAGCCATGGGGGAAAATAATAGCATTAACTAAGGGGGTCAGGGTAGGTCTCATGGAAAAGGTAACATTTCAGCAAACACTTGAAATGCATGAGGGAATAATCCAGACTCCCAGGAGAAGGGTGTTGCAGGAAGAGGAAAGAGCAGATACAAAGGCCTGAAAGGTTAGCTTTTCCACTGTGTTTCTTGTAGCTTCAAAAAGTATACTGTCGTTAGCTGTCACCCACTTGTGTGACTTGTTACTGTCTTGAGGACCCCTGAGTCTCTCTGGCCCCTGGGTTTGCTTTACTCTGTGCTTGCTCACGACTCCTCCTCACCAGGGGCTCTGAAGATGGGACCTGGGTCTGAAACTCAGAACCCAATACAGCTTACTGTAAAATGTGATTAAAAACAATGGGAATAGCAGTTTATACTACTCATTTAATAGCCAGCACCTTATCCGATCTTAATATGTCAACAGTACTGCAATTCAACAGTAACTTGTAATATAACAAACATACACACACACACACACACACACACACACACACAAATGGGTGTGTATGTGTGTAGTGGAGGTGGCTGGTGTGTCACATAGAGACTGTCATATTCTAAAAGGGCTACAGAAGCATTTTCCTTTTTCAGCACCCTTCTCTCCCTGTGGGGGAGGTCCGTGTTTTTAAAATGGATTTACAATTGTAAAGATTTGCTTCAGAACCATGGAATTGCACTGAAGAGTCCAGTCTCCATTTTCTGAGTGTTTATTTTTAAATAAATAAATACATAAATAAATAAACAGTTCTAAAATAGATGTTGGCCAGTACGACATTTTTTCCAAGTCTAGGATGAAAAGGACACAAGTACATCCTACTCCAAAGCCACTAGAAATGTCCATATCTGCAAACGAACAGCAGACGTTATTTCCTTATCTCCTTGTGGCTTTCAACTTGTAGGATGTTTGTTGAAACATCCCCGTCAGTTGTAGCTGTGGTGCCCAAAGTTCATAGACCTTTACTTACCAGTGAGACTCTGGAAGGAAAGGATGGAAGTTTGATTTCCCCTTACCTTTAGTTCTCTTTTCTCCATCTCTCAGATGACTTGGGTTTTTCTGGCTGGAGACAGGGGAGCTCTAACAACCATCACTGGTCCAGCGGACGACAGCTACAGGAACCTTCTGAACCTAACCAACGCCTTTTTATTAAAAGCCCAAGCAAAGTTAACAGACTACTTCAGTATCAACACCACTGTGTTGTTTTCTCAACCAACACTTAAGTGATTTAGAGTCTTGGGTTACACCATTCCATTAGGAATGGAAGTTTGGTTTCCCATTGGCTGAAATGAGTTCTATTGTTCCTTCCTTTGTCAGAGGTCAAAGCCAGCATGTTCTAGAATGTTAGCTTGCAGTGGGTCAAGAGGATAACCTGGTCCTAGGACTCAAATAGCTTATTTTATTTTGCAAGCTTCTTTACTCCTGTCCCTCCTCTGGGGCTCCCAATAGCTAGAACATTATGAATTCAAGGCAGGTTTGATGCATACAGAAAGGGATGAGGGTATTTAAGAAGTGTTATTTTTATTACAGGCACAGTGGTTTGTTTCTTCTGATCATCCAAGTTATGGTCAACACAGAAGAATGTTGTATTTTTTAAACTCTCAAATGTTGAGGGAGGAGGTAGGGGCAGGGGACTTGAACAGAGGCATATGATGAAACTTAGAAACACTACAAACAGCAAATACATGTGAAAAAAACCTTCCCACATTTCCATTTTATTCCAGGCTGCTCCCTCCCACCCTTTTACTCGCCTACCTAATGTGAGGAAGGGACCACATTTCTTTGCCGAGACGGAATGGTTGCCCAGGAATTGGTTCAATTCTGCTACAACTTGCGTTTTCTTTCCTCGTGGTTCATCAGGTCAAACAAGTTTTAAAGTCCTCTACACTGTGTCACGCTGCCTATGAAAATAAGTTCATGTTGAAGGCAAAGTGGAAATGTATCAAACACCTAAAAAAAAAAAAGGTGACTCTGTGAAAACCCTCCTGTTGAGAACCTCTAGGTCAGTTTGGGGAGGTGATGTGAGATCAGGAAGGCTCTCAGATGGAAACCCCATCCAATAAGAATGTAAGGTACAGGATCAGCCACCTGGGCTGCTGGTGAAGGGGCCAGAGGCTGGGGGCTGTGTCCTTTTGTGTCAGCTCATCACCTCCACGTGGTCTTGAGCTTCAGGTGATGATTTCTTGCTTTGGTGTCCTTGACTCTTCTTAGTTACCCGTCCTTCTAACTCGTAGTCCCGAGTCTGGGATATAGGTAAAAACTGATGTGTTGTGTCATATGAAAATTTTAACTTGAGAAATGTTTCTTTTCATTTTGAGTAGAAAGTGAACTCCTTAGATTTTTATGGTCCAAAGAAAGAACACTGTTAGTGAGGGGTCTTGAATTGGGGATTCCACATGGACTCTTTGCCAGAGCTCACCTAGGGTAGACACAAAGGAAATGGAACACCAATTCCTGATGAAAAACACCGTTTACTTTCTAGTCCAGTAGGTTCCTGTCTTAATATGCTGAAGTGATTTCATCCAATATGAGAGGACTTTTACACATTCTGGTTTAGACCATGTTAATCTTCAAAAAGAAAATTCTGAAGTAAACTTCAGGAAGGATTCAGATCACAGGTCTGGTGGGATGTCGTATATTACCTTAATAAACATTTTATCTGGATAAATCTTTGGGTGCTTTTTAAGACGACAGCTTAAAATTTTAATGGTGCAATTGCCATTTGAGGACTAAGGTATTAGAAAAAGTTCTTTCCCTCCAAAACTCACATAGATTCTATTATTCCAATACTTGACTGTCATAAAAAGTCTTTCTTATCAAGATGACATTTCCTTGCCTTGTACTTTTATTCTGAATAGTATTTTCCCTCTAAATTTGTCAAAATATACGCTTATATGTTTAGAACTTACAATTTCTTCCATGATCTTACATATTTTATCTTCTACAATAATATTTAGAAAAAAATAACAAAAATAGCAAGCTGTTTTAAAAAATATATATTTTTATTGATTTCAGAGAGGAAGGGAGAGGGGGAGAGAGAAATATCAATGACGAAAATCACTGATCAGCTGCCTCCTGTACGGCCCACACTGGGAATCGAGCCTGCAATATGGGTATGTGCCTTGAGAATTGAACTATTACCTCCTGGTTCATAGTTTTGACGCTGAACCACTGAGACATGCCGGCTGGCAACAGAAAGCTGTTTTTATGCAATAATTATTAATGAGATCCTTGGAGACAGGTTGAAATGAATCTGCTTTCTCTTCTAGATACCCAGAAGGTTTACTGCATCTTTTCATACTTTGATTGATCAGACATTTCAATCGAAGAGAGATTATCATTCACATCAGATAGCATCTTAAATCTCCATGCTTTAAGAACTTAAAATAAATCGTTTTTCAAGTTAAGCTCCTTAAAAGAGCAAATTACGTAGTTTTTACCTTACCTGGTTTTAGTTGAAACAAACTCTCTTTTCCCCCCCATTTGATTCTTCTTTAGAAAAAAAGAAACAGGACACATTTCATTTGTTTAAAATATATAGAATAAACTTTGTTTTTATTATAGACATGGATCAAAAATAAAAGTTTTTATGTACATATAACATTTAGTGCAAACAAAAGGCTTTTAAACACCACGATGGACATGCTGCTGGGAATGAAAGGAGATGGATGATGGGGTTAAGATGGTCGTCCTGGAACGGCAGGAGGGGGCCGCCTAGTGAAAACAAAACAAAACAAATAACACACACACACAGAAAAAAACAACCACACACACAAATGCAGAAGAAGCAAACTATGTTTGAGTTACAAAACAAATCCAAATAAGAACATGCAAATTATCCCACAAAAGTCCAATTCAAATTAGACCGAAAAATCATGCAGACACATGGGGGACACGGGAGAATACCGTGTGGCAGTTAGCTGTTCCCAGGATTTTTTTCTGGCGATCAGCAGTGTGCTAGATACGAGCCATTTTAGTCCACTCCACAATCTTACTTGGTGCCATGTAATGAGGATTCCATGCAATCGCATTCAGGAGAACTGGGCACAGTACTAGAGCCAAATACCTTCAGGACTCAAGTATCTGTCTCCCACCCTGACTTTGGGACACTCACTTATTTCCAAAGATTTCCATAAATGCTGTGCCATCTCCATGGCGGGGGGAGGGAGTTGATATAGAAATATGACAGGTGACATTTCCCCCCCCAAGATGATGTCAAATGAGAAGGTGTCAAAAGATCCAATGAGCTATGTAATCACAACGCAGAACATGTCAGGGCTGGAGGAAAGGATTTGCAAGTAAGAATTTGCTGCAGGTGAGTAATATCCTGATGTTGACAGCCTTTCCGGGCCGAGGGAAACTACCAGGGGAGGCCTGGTCCATCGTGCTTCATTTAGACATCAGCCTCTTTGGGTGTTTCACGGCTGGAGAAGGTCCAGTCAGGTCTCCAGCACCAGGCACGGCTCTGGTTTCCGCCAGTATCTACACTTCAATTTCCTCTTTCTAACCAAATCGGGAACAGACTCAACGTTACCGCAAGCCATGAGCTGGGAGGTTAGCTCGGTCCGGCGCCCTACCCTCTGCGGGACTTCTCTGGGGCTACATGTTCAACAACATACTCACTTCCGTCTTACTCTCGTAACACTTCAGTGAGTGGAGCAATGAGGTCTACAAAAAAAACAAACACAAAAACAAACTTCTTTTTCATCTTCTCTAAGATGTTAAGGAGCCAAAATGATGGGGCTATTTCTGAGCAGTAGTAAAAAAAATAAAAAATAAATAAATAAAAAGACCTCCCCTCCCCCCAAGTTCAAGACCATTTTTTCCTTTGGCCCAATTTAAGTGGCCTACACCAAAGAGGCCTCACATCCATATAAACTTGTCTTTGGTACCTAACCTTTCAAGTGAGGAGGTGGGGGGGGGGGGTCTGCAAGGCTTGAGCTGTGGAAATCCAGGTAATGGGTGTCCCTGGTGCTTTCATGAAGAAAGAGGAATCAAATTCCAGGCAGGCTCAATGAGATTTATTACCTGCCCAGCAAACAAACTATGTTTGTGTTCTGGAGGGCTTTGGGACACTTTAATGACCTCAGCAGGGTGGGAAGGTGAGCTATTAAACCGAGCAGCGGGTCCCCAGAGCTGAAGGGACATTCTGTTTGCATTTGCCACAGTGTTTTTTCTGTTGGAGTTACTTTGGTGCTCTAACCCAGACACAGGGCCAGAAACTCCATGTCTCGGAATACGGGGTAATCCCCCAAAATATGGGTTAAATCTGAAAAGACAGAAACATCAGTTGAGCTATCAGCTGTTAAAGTGTGTATACCTTTTTTGGGGGACACCCTGTATATTTCACCAACAGGGAGAATATTTGCTTCCAACCTCAGAATGACGTTTATCCCCTCAAACAACTCTGTCTTTTCTGCTTCACGTATCCCGGGTCTAACTTTCCCCTCGGAGTCTGTTAGGTCGTGGATCACAGTAGTGTGGGTTCTGCTATTTCCTTTCCGTTATTTTCTATATATTGCTTGCGGCACCATGCTGAAGTGCTTGAAGGCAAGTCCTGAGACTATTTGGACCTTTTGTATCAAGAGTTTCAAAGGTACCTGATACTGCTGCCGCCTTTAAAATAAAAGTTGGAGGACTTTATTTGAACACTGAGTAGCTAACAAATTTCAAAGGCCCTCATGGCAGTATTTCAACATGTGAGTTCATCGACTTAACCAAGATTATATAATGTTAGGTTCTACCTTCTTAAGCTTTCTGAAAAATAACTTCCCAGAATTGTTCCGCCAGAACAGGAAGGTGAGGAGACAGGAAAAGCTGAGTATGGAACATGGCATAATTCATACAGAAAATACCCAAGTATCAGTGAGAGTGATGAGTCACCTCGATTTTCTCCCATCTGCCTCGGGGCTGCCATCCAGCCTCACAGTGACATTCCTGTGGCAAGATCCCCCGGCAAGGTCTTCCTCAGGACATTTTTCTTTTCTGTCACAATCTCACAAAACCTTCTCTGCTTGCTTTCCTGGCCCATCGTTCA